ATGGTGCCAGAGTGGACTTACTGTGCCTGGGTGCCAGAGTGGAACTGATGTTCCTGGGGTGCCAGAGTGGACTATGTTCAGGGTGGCCAGAGTGGACTTATGTTCCTGGGTGCCAGAGTGGACTTATGTTCCTGGGTGCCAGAGTGGACTTATGTTCCTGGGTGCCAGAGTGGACTTATGTTCCTGGGTGCAGAGTGGACTTATGTTCCTGGGTGCCAGCAGTGGACTATGTTCCTGTGTGCCAGGTTGGACTTATGTTCTGGGTGCCAAGAGTGGACTTATGTTCCTGGGTGCCAGAGTGGACTTATGTTCCTGGGTGCCAGAGTGGACTTATGTTCCTGTGTGCCAGAGTGGACTTATGTTCCTGTGTGCCAGAGTGGACTTTTGGTCCTGTGTATGTGCCAGAGTGGAACTTATGTGCCATGGGTGCCAGAGTGGATATGATTCTGGGTGCCAGAGTGGACTTATGTTCCTGGGTGCCCAGAGTGGACTTATGTTCCTGGGTTGACAAGAGTGACTTATGTTCCTGGGGCCAGAGTGGGACGTGTGTTCCTGAGTCCAGGAGTGGACGTGTGTTCCTGGGTGCCAGAGTGGGACGTGTGTTCCTGGGTGCCAGACGTGGACTTATGTTCCTGTGTGACAGAGTGCACGTGTGTTCCTGGGTGCCAGAGTGGACGTGTGTTCCGGTGCCAGAGTGGGACTTATGTTCCTGGGTGCCAGAGTGGACTTATGGATCCTGGGTGCAGAGTGGACTTACTGTTCCTGGGTGCCAGAGTGGACTTATGTTCCCTGGGTGACAGGAGTGTGGACTTATGTTCCTGGGTGCCAGAGTGGACTAATGTTCCTGAGGTGCCAGAGTGGACTATGTTCCTGGGTGCAGAGTGGACGTTTGTTCCGGGGTGCAGAGTGGACTTAGGTTCCTGGGTGCCAGAGTGGACTTATGTTCCTGGGTGCCAGAGTGGACTTATGTTCCTGGGTGCCAGAGTGGACTTATGTTCCTGGGTGCCAGGTGGACTTATGTTCCTGGGTGCCCAGGTGGACTTATGTTCCTGGGTGCCTAGAGAGGACTTTTATGTTCCTGGGTGCCAGAGTGGACTTATGTTCCTGGGTGCCAGAGTGGACTTATGTTCCTGGGTGCCAGAGTGGACTTATGTTCCTGGGTGCCAGAGTGGACTTATGTTCCTGTGTGCCAGAGTGGACTTATGTTCCTGGGTGCCAGAGTGGACTTATGTTCCTGGGTGCCAGAGTGGACTTATGTTCCTGGGTGCCAGAGTGGACTTATGTTCCTGGGTGCCAGAGTGGACTTATGTTCCTGGGTGCCAGAGTGGACTTATGTTCCTGGGTGCCAGAGTGGACTTATGTTCCTGGGTGCCAGAGTGGACTTATGTTCCTGGGTGCCAGAGTGGACTTAGGTTCCTGGGGTGCCAGAGTGGATTATGTTCCTGGGTGCCAGAGTGTTTGGAACTTATGTTCTGGGTGCCAGAGTGGACTTATGTTCCTGGGTGCCAGAGTGGACTTATGTTCCTGTGTGCCAGAGTGGACTTATGTTCCTGGGTGCCAGAGTGGACTTATGTTCCTGGGTGCCAGAGTGGACTTATGTTCCTGGGTGCCAGAGTGGACTTATGTTCCTGGGTGCCAGAGTGGACTTATGTTCCTGGGTGGCAGAGTGGATTTATGTTCCTGGGTTCCTGCCAGAGTGGACTTATGTTCTGGGTGCCAGTGTGGACTTATGTTTCTGTGTGCCAGAGTGGACTTATGTTCCATGGGTGCAGATGGACTTATGTTCCTGGGTGCCCAGAGAGGGACTTATGTTCCTTGGGTGCCAGAGTGGACTTATGTTCCTGGGGTGCCAGAGTGGATTTAGTTCTGGGGAGCCAGAGTGGACTTATGTTCCTGTGTGCCAGATGGATTATGTTCCTGGGTGCACCGAGTGACTTATGTCCTGGGTGCCAGGTGGGACTTAGTTTCTGGGTGCCAGAGTGGATTATGTTCCTGGGTTGCAGAGTGGACTTATGTTCCTGGGTGCCAGAGTTGGACTTATGTTCTGGGTGCCAGAGTGGACTTATGTTCCTGGGTGCCAGAGTGGAACTTTGTTTCTTTGTGCAGAGTGGATCCTTATGTTCCTGGGTTGCCAGAGTTTGTACATTATGTTCTGGGTGCCAGAGTGGACTTATGTTCATGGGTTGCCATGATTGAGACTTATGTTCCTGGGTGACAGAGTGGACTTATGTTCAACTGGGGTAGTGTGCCCGAGTGGTTTATGGTTCTGGGTGCCAGAGTGACTTATGTTCCTGGGTGCCAGAGTGGACTTATGTTCCTAGGTGCCAGGCTGCGGGTGGTGGAAGTAGGTTCTGGTGCCAGAGTGGATTTATGTTCCTGTGGGCCAGAGTGGATTATGTTCCTGGCGCCTGCATAGAGTGGACTGATGTTCACTCCAGAGTACTACATCCAGAGTACTACATCCAGAGTACTACATCCAGAGTACTACATCCAGAGTACTACATCCAGAGTACTACATCCAGAGTACTACATCCAGAGTACTACATCCAGAGTACTACATCCAGAGTACTACATCCAGAGTACTACATCCAGAGTACTACATCCAGAGTACTACATCCAGAGTACAGGCACTGACAAAGAAACATCTATATTAATTTCTTACCAACATTCTCTCCAAGATTTAACAGTTTCTCATCTAACGTCATTAAAATCACGGGAAGCACTAAACCCACAAGGTCAATCAACTCTTATGGAATGGGAAATAATCATATCTGACTAAAGGAAGAGAGGAATAGGCCCAGTTTCTTTGATCAAAAGTCTTTCACCAATAAAGCGTCCCTCGAAGGATACACTAACCTTAGCCTTGACGAAAACCTTCGCCAGATTGAGGAGAGCAAACACAACAGGCAGCTGCTGAAGGGAAGGTTCTGTGTGTGGGATCCTGCAGTAGGGGCAGGATAGGGGCTGAGGGACGGTCTTCTCCAGGGTCAGGAGACACTGCCTGCAGAAGGTGTGACCACAGCGGGGCAGGAGGACTGGGTCATGGCTGCCGTGGCTGTAAATCTCGGAACACACCCCACACGTCAAGTCAGAGTCCATCACTGCTCTAAAAATACTGTATTTTAAGGAGTGGACTGCTAAGTCAGCGGAAGTCCTCGGTCAGATGACCAAAAGCTCCAGCTGAGGTTCATCATATGACTAAGACCTACGCCAGGAAACTCTTGTCCTGTTTCCTGACAGACCTTACCTAACCTAATCACTGCTCTAAAAATATGAACGATTTCCAATCTTAGACTTGACGCTCTAGTAGTTGAGAGTCTTAGACTATGACAAATAATTCGAAATGGTTTAGATATGCTCAACATACCTATGTATGTATTACATACATAAAGTTTAAACAAAATATAAAAAATCGAATTTCAATGCACCAAAAGAGGAGAAAATGCAATAGGCTACGATACTATGCCTACATAAATAGCCAGTATAAGTTACATTCTCCTGTATGTATTGTTCCAGTGCTGATATTAGGATGCCTAAGAGACTATAATGTTCCAAGGCAGTGGTGCAGCCACAGTTAAGGAGCCTTAACATTACCTCCCCAATCCTCAGACACAAGTACTTTTTATTATTATATTCCAAATTCATGACTAATTCTCACCGTACCAACGACCACAAAAACACGAGATTTTAAGAAATTTAACACTTACACTTACAGTCATACATACACACATACACACTATTTTTTAGCCTAATGGCCATATAGAGGTCATGGTAGTTAGTTTTGATAATGTTTGGTTAACTTGTGCTGCTAAACCCATAAGGGCAATACAAGCTCGTGAGGTTCCATCTATGGTGGGGGAGGACAAGCTCAGTCCCCTGTGATCAAGAACCCCTTTACCAGCATCAAGGTGCCCCCTTATTTAAGGGACATACCACAAAGCTCACCTGTATAAAGCAGTAGAAACAATAGTAGTAATAGCAGCAACAGTAACAGTAGCAGCAACAGTAGCAGCAACAGTAGCAGCAACAACAACAGAGGCAGTGTTGGTGTTGTGGTACAGGAGGTGAGGCAGCACTGGTAAATCCTCTTATCGTTCATCTTATCTCTTACACACCATTTTCTTTACCACAGGACGCTGGTGGCTCAGTGGTAGCTACAACCTCGGCTCACAACCGAAGTTGTCCAGCTACAATCCGGGGGCTGGTAGAGACTTATACACAAGACTCCTTACAACCACTGCTCCTTCTTCACCCAGCAGTATATAAGTACCTAATGGGTACAGTCCCTGGACCCATTATGTATCTCTGTAATGTTGAGGTACAGTCTCTGGATCCATTATGTATCTCTGTAATGTTGAGGTACAGCCCCTGGACCCATTATGTATCTCTGTAATGTTGAGGTGCAGTCCCTGGACCCATTATGTATCTAATGTTGAGGTACAGTCCCTGGACCCATTATGTATCTAATGTTGAGGTACAGTCCCTGGACCCATTATGTATCTCTGTAATGTTGAGGTACAGTCCCTGGACCCATTATGTATCTGTAATGTTGAGGTACAGTCCCTGGACCCGTTATGTATCTCTGTAATGTTGAGGTACAGTCCCTGGACCCATTATGTATCTCTGTAATGTTGAGGTACAGTCCCTGGACCCGTTATGTTCCTCGGTAATTTTTTGACTACCGCTCACACCATCTAAATGGAGTTTACCTGGAGAGGGTTTCGGGGGTCAACGCCCCCGCGGCCCGGTCTGAGACCAGGCCTCATGGTGGATCAGGGTCTGATCAACCAGGCTGTTACTGCTGGTCGCACGCAAGCTGACGTACTAACTACAGCCCGGTTGGTCAGGTACTAACTTTAGGTGCCTGACCAGTACCTAATTAAGTGTATAATTAAGATAGTCTTATATTGCCCCAGAACAGAAGCTGAGTCAGGAGGTGTGACTCGACCCCCACAAACACAGCTCAGGCGGTACACAATCTCGGGGAATAACAACACACATGATAAATATTATTTATTTAATATCATTACACAAGTGCCAATTATTTGTATTTAAATTAGTGAAATAATTTTAGGAATGACTAGGCTAATATTATAATAATAATCAAAAATAATAATTAATAATAATTTAAAAAATAATTAATAATTTTAATAAACGATCATAAATTTTTAGCTGAATTAATTATAATAAAACTAATGAGTTGATTTTTTGATCATAAACTATAAGCAATTAACGAAATTTAAATCATTTTAAATTTGTTAGGCAAATAAACTAAGATTTTTTTGACAATTCGACTTAATTCTACAAGTATAAATCTGGTGAAAATGTCTATATAATACCTACTTAACAATTTATATTTGTGGCATAAATCAAAACCTTCGTTCACTGTTACTATATTTCGTCTTTATATCGTTTAAATTATATATCGTCTTTGTTTATCACTACGACAGCCGGAGTGTTGCGTTCTTGTTGTCTGGATGACAGAGCTATGTAAGACGGGTACGTTAGGTAAGGTTAGGTTAGGTTAGGTAAGGTTAGGTTAGGTTAGGTTAGGTTAGGTTAGGTAAGGTAAGGTTAGGTTAGGTTAGGTTAGGTTAGGTTAGGGTAGGCTAGGTTAGGTTAGGTAAGGTTAGGTTAGGTAAGGTAAGGTTAGGTTAGGTTAGGTAAGGTTACGTTATGTTAGGTTAGTTTAGGTTAGGTTACATTACGTTAGGTAAGGTTGTTTTGGGTTAGGTTAGATTAGGTTCGTCAGGAAACAGAAGAAGTGTTTCCTGACGCTGGTCTTTGTTGATGACCCACAGCTGGAGCCTTTGGTCATCTGACCGAGGCCTTCCGCTGGCTTACCTCTCCACCCCATCGAAAATTATGGTCATAGTTATAACTAGGTTTTATATGTAAGAGGGACTGGCTGTCTAGTTAGTGTGGATTTATTTACTGCAGACAAGGTTGAAATAGTTACAAGGCAGAGGAGTCACGGGAAGAGTCAACATTTTCCCTAAGTTACGTTAGATAAGTGAGGGAAAGCTAAGTTAGGTTACATTATGTTATGGAGAAGCTAGGTTAGGTTACATTAGGTTATGGGGAAGCTAGGTTAAGTTTTTCTCTGTGAATCTTTGTTCAAATTTTTTATAGATTCTGTGAGAGGTTTGTCATGGAGGGGAAAAAGAGAAGAGGGAGGAGGGAGGTAATGGGGAAGGGGGAGGAGGTGGTGGGGAATTTTTGGTTAAGGATTTATTAAGTATGAGAGGATTGATTAGAGGTTGTGGTTTGGTTGGAGAGTGAATTGTTGATGGAGAGTGACGAGTGAGGGAGAGGCTGAGGGAGAAAGAAAGCGTAGTTCAGAAGATGGGTCGAAGCTTTGATTGGCAGTAAACACCACAAAAACGACTCGTGATGTAGCTAGCAGAGACGACTGGAACGACTGGTCACTAGTTGGGTCGTGCTGAGTCAGTCACGACGACTCCGACCTCTTGCATGGTGACCTCTCTGACTGGTTTGTGATTGACGGCAGCCAGGACCGCCTCCCACCCTGCCACTACCTCCCCGAAGGGGCAGGCGAAGTCCCTGGAGCAGTTCTCAATGGTGCAGATGTCGAAGCAAGAGTCTCTGTCTGGTCTCCCACTGCCAGCACCTACCACCAGCCCCTTCCTCTGACGTCCCTTGTACTTCCCCTCCCACTCTAAGTTGTCCATCACCCCTTGGGCGCTCAGGTCCCCGTTAGGGGTTAAATAGGGTCCCCCGTGGAGGCATTCTCCCTTTAACCCCCTAGAGTAGACTTCCTCGAACTTGGCCCCGCGGTAGGAGGGTCCGTGAGTGCCCATGCAGAGAGCCAGGTAATGCTGGGCCCGGCGTAGGTGACCCCACAAACGAATGTAAACACGTCCCAGACGACGTCCTCTGGCTGTCAGGTCGAGGAAAACCTCTGGTGTGTCCTCGGGGATGACGCTCTGAAGCACCGACAGCTGTAAGAGTGTACACACTGAAGTACTGTGAGAGCTTACAGCAAAGTAATCCTTGATCAAATAAACTGAACCTAAATCTCGCTTTTGATTAAGCCTGATTACCTCCCATTTCTAGGTACTATATGATCCCTACTGACTTAATGCTTCCCATGAATATAAATTATAATAATTATAATGTAGTAGTGAGCTGTTGTTCTGACTGGTCACAGATCATTTACTCCCTGTAAATCATTATTGATGATGTCTAATTTTGACTGCATCACTACTGCCTCTGTCTGCTCACCCTGATCATAAAGTGGGCGTCGTCGATGTTGTCCCCGAGAGCGTACATGTGGAGACGTCCGTCCTCCCAGGCCATCTTGGCTCTCCTGCCATCGTCATCGTAGACGCAGCACCGGAGGGGCCAAAGGGCTGGGTCCAGGAAGCCCAGCAGGGGCCCATGACTTGACACCTCAGCCTTGCAGCTACCAGAAATACCATGAGTTCCATACATCTGCGAATAGTGGGCATACTTTACATCTTTACTTGGATCGACGGATTTTTTCTTCATGGGAGGAGCCAAGTTGAATTGTGTAGAGGTGTGGTTTCTCTGGTTCCTGTTGTTGTTGGTGGTGGTGGTGGAAGAGGCTGTGGTGGTGGTAGAGGCTGTGATCGTGTTAGTTGTGGCGGTGGCATTTGTATTCCTCTCCCGTCTGTGGTTGGTAGGCGTTGAAGGTTTTGTGTCTGGTGGAGTGTGTGTGTCCGACCTGTGACTGTCTCTTCTTTCTCTCCTGCGTCGTACCCTCGGTGTCTTGTTCTCAGCTTCGCTTTCGTTGGAGGTTCTACCGAGGCTGCCGAGGATGCTCTTCATTCGCATGAGGCTACCCATCAGGAAGTGTAGGTCGGCAGTACACTTGGTGTCAGTCAGCATATCTTTCACATCGTGGGCGGAGCTGTCAGCGAGGGCGCTGGCGTCGCAAGTCCGCAGCAGCTGCAGGGAACACTCCTTCACCTTGACCAGGATCTTCTGTTTCTCCTGCTCCACGCTCTGCAGGACTGCCACACCCTGCTCCCTCATCTCCCGCCGCTTCTCCTCCAGGAGGACCTTCGTGCGGATCACGTCGTGGCCCCTCAGGACGGAACACTTGGCACACAGCGACTTCCGGCAGTCCCGGCACCAGTAAGCTAGTGGCGCTTCGTGACGCTCACACACGCCCATCTGCAGACAGCAACACATTAAGATCACCTACACACACACACACACACACACACACGGGTAAGTCTGGCTGAAAGACCGTGACTATCATGGATCCAGACTCCACCACATCTTGCGCTGACTCATATGGGTTTAATGCTTCATATTAATGTAATACGGACACACATTCACATACACCTCTACAAGTACACACACACACACACACACACACACACACACACACACACACACACATCACACACACACACACACACACACACACACACACACACACATACACACACACACACACACACACACACACACATACACACACACACACACACACACACACACACACACACACACACACACACACACACACACACACACACACACACACACACACACATACACACACACACACACAACACACATACACACACACACACACACACACACACACACACACACACACACACACACATACACACACACACACACACACACACACACACACACACACACACACACACACACACACACACACACACACACAGGAGCTCGGACTCGACCCCCGCAACCTCAACTAGGTGAGTACACACACACCTCTATAAATACATACCGCCTTGTCCACTTCGTGACGCTCACACACGCCCATCTGCAGACAGCAACACATTAAGATCACCTACACACACACACACACACACACACACACACACACCTCTATAAGTACATACCACCTTGTCCACCATGCGACATACCTAATATACTAAATAGGACATAGCACACAAAAGTAATGTAAATTTGAAGTTAAACCAAAGAAATATTCTCAAGATATCGTGATGTGAGGCGGGAGTTAAGGTGAAGATAGAGAGGTGAAAAACAGACAATGACTGATGGAAGACATGAGTTATTGTCTGTAGTAATGATGTGAATGTTTTAATGACCTTATCCTTACACATCAGGTCTAATGACCTTCAACTCTAATTATACTTATATTTACAAATAATGCTATGTACACGTGGTTTACGATTGGTAATGGGGTACACAATGATATTTCACTAAAACACGCGGTTTATTCAGTGTTTTAATACTTGTATTCTCTGAATTTGAATTCAACCTAGTTATTTTTTTATAATTTTCTTGTAACGTGTGAAAGAATTAATGGTGATAATAATGTTTATCCGAAACTGTGTAGATGTGTGGCCTCAGTGACTTTTAAAAGATGTTCTGTGACGTGAGAATTAATATTCTGTATTATGTCCTTATATTCTGTAAGGAGTTGAATAAGTGAAAATTATTGTAATTTAGAGGAAATTAATATTTCAATAATGAAAATCTAGTACACATTTGGAAGTGTTATTAAATTGATTGAAAAGATGTACTGGTAAACAAAACGTTGGGAGAAGAGCAACGAAAAATGGGGAAGGAATAAGTAAATGATGGGAGTGTTGCAGAATCTGATCGTGGGTAATAATCGAAGCAGATGAAGAGTGTATCGGCAATAATTGAGGAACCATGAATGAGTGAATATAATAAGTATCTGGAGCAATTCAGATACATAGTAACCGGGTTATAATAAGGCTGATAGTGAAGGTAATTTCTGGACTGGACGCGGTGAGTGAACATGACCATCGAGTGTACCTACAGTAGCTTGTCCCCTCAAGGAAGGTTCCTTGATGTTGGTGAGGGGCTCTTGATTTAGGGAATTGGATCTGTGCTCCAGTTCCCCAAATTAAGCCTGAATGCCTTCCACATCCCCCCAGGCGCTGTATAATCCTCCGGGTTTAGCGCTTCCCCCTTGATTATAATAATAATACAGTAGCTTGATTTCGCCTTCTTATATACGGTATCAACCCACCAATTATGTTATTAGCCAATGTTTAGCATACATACCTGCCAGGGAGGCGCTTATGTACACTCAATTTTATGTGTAAATTATGTGGAGTTATATAAAAATGGTGAGTAATCAGTTTAAACCGTGGACCAAATTACTAAGAGTTGTTACTCAAGTAATTTTTCAGTAATATGTGCAGTCCACAACCAAATTAATACAGCCAGTGTTTCTGGCTGGAAATATATGTTTAATAATCGCAAGAATTATATGTTCATATAATTTAAGGTCCAGATGTGTGAGCTTGGGAGCAGAGAAGGTGGACATGGAAGGAGAGAGAGTGATGTTGCTGGAGTTCCATCTGTCTCCTGAGGTACACCTAGTATCAGTAAGTGTTGTCTGTTGTACATGTGCCACAGTTCTCCCCAGTTGTGTGTGAAATGTTAATTCAGGATTGTACCTGTGAAATTCACTCGCAAATTCTCACACCTGTATTCACAGGCATCTGTGGATCACTTTTCAAGTGAATATCCCAGTAAAACTACGCAAAATGTGATTAATTGTTATCTGAAGTTGTTCTTTCAAGCTTATCGTCATACCTTTGATTTCTGAAGTCGCTAAAATTTGGCTAATTCTCTTGTTAGGCCCTCCCATTTAATTTGTGTTTACGTTGAGGTTAAAATTTAATACCTATTTTGGGGACTGAAGCAACCTTGTTAGTGGTGTACAATTGACATGCGTCTTAATAACCCTCGTCTATTTGACGACTTGAAGCCTAAAAATAACGAAATTTTTTTTTTTTTTTTGTCCCCAAATTTGGGTTAAAAGAATTTTAAAGGGCTGTTGAAAAAGGGTGGGGGTGGTGTTCTTAATTAAGTAATGCGAATATAATATTGTGTTGAAAAACTATAGTGAGCATCAAATAAAGGCAAGGGGTTTTTCTATGATTTTTTTTTAATAGTGATACCGAAATATAATTTGGTGGTGAAGAGTGTGATGAGAGCGGTGGGGGTCTTTTAATGTTAGTAAAAAAGTGATGAGGTAATATAAGTTGGGGGTTTGCGAGTGTGATGGGGTTTTATTTCACTTGCTTTAAATTGTTGTTACAATACGTTGAAAAAAGGGAATAAAACACAAGTTGGTTTTGTGGCTTTGGTGTTTGACAGCTGTAGTGTTTTTTTTAAAATGTTAGTGGAGGGGGGGAAATGTGAGTGGGGGGGAAAAACCTATCTTACATTCACACATAAACAGGTCGTGCTCGGGGTTTTACAAAGGGGACTCCCAGAGGCCTTAAACTGGGGTCCCTTTTCAAAAACTCATGGACAATGGAAAGCAGTTGCATTGAAAAGGGGTCTGCTATTTATATGAACAATTTTTTCTTTTATGCTGAGAAACTCAGTTTAAATCCCAGGACTATTATAATGGATAAAAACCTCGTATAAATTTTTCTTATTAAGCGGGGAAATTTTTGATCATTTTAAAAAAAGGATTTCCCCTGCCCTTTTCCATCATAAAGTAACCCAAACCCCTTTGGGAATTTTGTGTGTCTACAAGAGTGCAGAGTCCCGAAAAACCCCAAACCCCCAAAAAATTACCATCATTTGTTGCATAAAAACCCCCAAATTTACAAAATCTTGTGTTTCCTTTTTTATATTAAAAAATCACTTCCCCATAAAACTTCTTGCAATAAGAAAACAGAGGGGTAAAAGTATCCGGGGGTTAGGATTTTATAGGGAACTCTGTTCAACATTTTAAATTTGTACGCTCCTGCTGAAAAGTTTAATTATTGGGGGTCCCAATTTGGGTTGCTCGTTGACCCAAATTTTTTTTTGGCCCGTTTACAATGCAAGACACAAAAGCATTGGAAACCCCCACAGTTTGGAAATTCGTAAGGGCCAAATCAACTTTTTTCCCACTCTTAAACAGTCATTTTTAATGTGCAAATTGTGGGGGGGGGACCTTGAACCCACACTATCTATGGAGGGTCCTTGATCTGTGCCTGGGCTTCAACATTACTTCCCCTTTTTGAAAAACAGATTTTGCGTCTGATTTTTCCCCTAGGTAACCTCACTAGATTTTGGTTTTAATACTACCCTTCCTGGGGGGGGATATTCAAAGGGAAAATTTTTTTAAATGTTCCCATGATAAAGCATGATGCTTTGTTGCACATGTGACTGACGGGTTTAAAATTCCTTGAGTTTTTCCCTGTAGGCCCTTTAAAACAATGATCTTGTGAGAAAGTATTCAGAACTACTTAGACCCGCCATGAAAAACCTTTTGGGGTATTTCAAACCCAAAAAAACTTCCAAAATTTTAATCATACCTCCTTCAAAAACCTTTACTTATTACAATGATTCAAAACTTCGTTACACTAAACCCGTACTGCTCGCGGGACGGCCCTACCCTTAAAAAAACATCGTACCCCGGGAAATGCTGAGGCTTTTCCCCAAATCCCCTTGCTGCTGCCAGAGAGCGTATGACAGGGGCTGGGGCCCCAAACGGAGGGGAAAAAAATTTGGGTTCAACGGTTTTTTAATGATCAACCCCATTTAGCCGGGAAATGGGAAGGGGACATAAATAAAATTTAAGGGTAACAAAAACTGGGCCCTGATCGCCCCCCCCTCATCCCTTGCTTTGGGCGAATGGTTGGGTCAGTCCCTTGGGGCCGGGCTACATCTAGCTATGACAATTTTCCCCAGAAACCCACAGGCAAAATTAAATGACAAATATGATGAAAGGGGAAAAGGAACTTGTTTGCTTTTGTCGGAAGGCAGATGACTGCAAACTTTCCCTTTCATTTAATTAAAAAACTTGATGCGACTAACAAAGGGGCAATTTCCCCCGTCGCCTGGTGAGGAGGAAATTATTAAAACATACTCAGATTGCTTTTGTCGATTTCCAGGAAATTTCCTTTACTTAAATTTTTTTTTTTTTAAAATGAGCTTTTGTAACTGGGGAGTTTCCCTCAATCTTAGCCCAACAGCCTCATCTTTCCCAAATTCCCAAACCCCAAAACAACAAAATGCTTTTCCCCCAATTTTCTCTTACTAGTTGCTTGTTTTAAAAAAATTTGAGAGAATGATTCTTAATCGTTTTCATTTTACAGAATAAAAAATTTTTTGGTCTCCCGGTTCCCCAGGGTTTCATGAATGGAAGGAGCTTTGCTTCTTTGGGTTTTAGCCCCCTTTCTCCCCCTGCAAAATGACAGCTCAAAACACA